CTTTGGAGACCAGGCTGGCCTCGAACTCACAGAGATCCGCCTGGCTCTGCCTCCCAAGTGCTGGGATTAAAGGCGTGCGCCACCACCGCCCGGCTAACAGCATCTTTCTTAAGTACGTCAAGCATCAGTGGCAGTTGAAGAACTTAATTCTTATTAGTGAAGGTGATTCCAGAGTGTTGCAGAGACCGCTTATCTCCCAATTATCCATCTTCTTTTGTTTCCTTCTGCATAAATCCTGAGAGATTTGAGGCTGGGTATGACTCTGCCCTGGGTAGTAGGTAGGATTCAGGCTCAGTTGATATGATGGTGTCACTTGCAGCAGAGACATGTCTCTTCAGACATCCCAAAGAGCTCGACTCAGAACCCTCACGTTGGGTTTCCATTAAGTTTCCTTCATCAGAAGACCCTATAAAACTGTGGTCTAAACAAAGCAGCAGCTCATCTCCCTCTTGTGTTGGGGCAGAGTTCTCGTCAGGGCCTGCATGCCACTGTCGGGGATTCAGTTCCCTTTTCTCCCCATGCTCTTTTCTGTGTGGTTCCCAAGGTGGTTCTTCTGGCCTTGACTACCTTGTCAGGATGCCAGCCAGCAGGAGGCGAGAATGGAATAAAGCCATGTTCTCTCCGCTGTCTGCCTGTCCCATTCCCATATACATCCTACCGGCCAGAAGAAGGCTGGGAAACGTAGTCCCTTGGCCAGCCGTTTATGTCCTCCATTATAGGTCCTGTTCCATGAAGATGTGTTACAGATGTGGAGGGACTATCAGCAGTACTTTCCCACTGCCCGTGACTTGGGGGCAGTGACTTAGTCATACGTCCTGTCTGTCCTGCTTCATTGGCCTCCTTTACACAAGTTAGTCTGTTATCTTTAAATTCTAATTTACTTAGGTTCTCAAGCCACAGAAGCCAGATTCTTGGCCAAAATACCACAGGAATGGCTCCACGCCCAGTTCCCAGTACAGTCCTCATGGCCCTCTGAAACCTCACGGGTCCAGGCCTTCACTGTCCTCGTTTTTCTCTGCATTCTGGTCTTCCAAGCTCTCACCAGAATGCCCTACTAATCTCTCCTTGCAGTATTTTCGGGCTTCTCTAGCCTGAAGTTCAAAACTCTTCCATATTCCCTCCCACAAACCAGTTCTAAAGGTTTAAAGACCACGTGGTCAGGTTTATCATAGCAAGGACTCTACTTCTGGTACCAAGTTTTCTTATTTCCTTTTCCTGTTGCTGTGAAAAAAAAAAATCAGACAAAAGCGACTTAAGAATAAAGGCCTTGGGCTGGAGAGATGGCTCAGAGGTTAAGAGCACTGACTGCTCTTCCAGAGGTCCTGAGTTCAATTCCCAGCAACCACATGGTGGCTCACAACCATCTGTAATGAGATCTGGTGCCCTCTTCTGACCTGCAGTCATACATGCTGTATA